TTTTAGAAAGGCCAGTGATTTATATGGTGAATTTCCTTTTTTTTTTTTTTAGGCATGGTGAGGGATAGCTAGAGATGAACAAATTACAGTTTTTCCAAAAATTCTGCACAGGATTTATAGGTGCCACAGTTGATCCTTGATTTTGATTGGCTAATGGCTGTGATCAACAAAATTCTGGCCCATTTAATTCATAATTTTGGCTAGAATTTAATTTTTAATTTTTTAATTGCAAAAATAAAAGAAAATTTTAAAGTTTGGACCTGTGTAGTGATAAAATTAGCCTAAAAACATATTTTATTTAATGGATATTGAGAAAGACAAATCCCATCCTTCAATACAAGAATGCACTTTAACACCAATACAATCTAACTAAACTAACTCTAACTAGAATACCACAACTAATACAACCAAACCCCCAGTATTAGTAAGGCTTTGATCAAGGCGTAGAAAGACTTGGTTTGAGTAACTAAGATAAATTGGATTCTTAGCAATAGTGTCAGATTAGAGCTTTTGATTATGTCATAAATCTTCTTACTCAGAATTATAGATTTGGTTACAATTTTCAATCATAATTACGGATTTTATTTATCAGAGAGAAATTAGCAGATCAAGCACTTCTACTTCAAGAACTTATACTCACAAGTTAAATACTCTAATTTTTTTAACTTAGAACTTTGAACTCCACCAAGTTTTACACTTTTGAACTTTCTAAGTTATCTTTATTGCATGTAAAAGGTTGTGCTTTATACTTTTGCACTACTAGTAGATACACAGTAAATAAATTTGTTAAATTAACTAAATACACTAAATACAATAAATCAACTAAATACAATAAATCAAATAAATGCAAAAAATTTAATAAATACAATAAATTCAATAAATTTGATAAGTTAAATTTTCTCTATACTAACTAATTTTGGCTAGATTCGACCTAAGCTACCTCAGTATACAAACAAGCCAAATTCTTCTAATTTGCTAAATCTAATATGCATCTAATCTACTAAATATAGAAATTTCTATTATGAGCCATGATTTACCCTTTCACAATTCTCCTGACCTCAATTTTGAGTTTCACAAGAAAAACTAACAACAAAAAGAAAAAGAAATCATAAAAGACTAATAGTGAAGAAAGAAAAAAATAAAACAAATTTTAATTATAACTTTTTTTTCAATAAAGAAATTGATTAATAATTGCTTCTTTAAAAATTTCCACTAGGATTAAACTTATGGTTGTGAAGGTCTTGTACTAGTAAATACCGAAAAGCCAAATCCAAGTCTGTTACCCTTTTTCAAATACTTTATCATTGACTACTAACATTTTACAATCTTCTTTATCTTCATTGATATCTTTAACATCTACTTTCCTTTTTTCTGTTTCAACATCAATGCTATTTCAATTACAGAACTCTCGAGCATGTGTTTAATCAATATGATCTATCAGAGTAGCTATTAGTTGTCCATCAGGAAGTATTCGTTTATCCTCACAATCTCTATACATTTCATATCTCGTTTGTTCATGCTTTTCAAAACTGATTCTATTTTTGTAACAATATTCAAGAACCACATTCAGGTCAAATGGTAAAGAAGGCTTGCCAGGATTGATTAAGTAGGAGTTTTTTATCTCTTCATAGCCATCTTTTATCATTCTCTTATATTTATTAACCTTTTTATTCTACTCTTTACAGGCTTTAGCAAGACTTTTTTTATTTCGATCATAGAATTTTTTGGGATCAACTAGGCCACTTATACCATCATTCACACTTTTCACATACTATTCAGGTACTTTAGAGTCATCTTTTTTAGCTTTAACTCCATTTCTTTAGCCAATTCTAAGTTTATTTTGTTTCTTCGAACTGCCTTCTTTAGCCAATTTCAAGTTTCATTTAAACACCTTTTTTCATCTTTTTTAATGCCAATTCTATGTTAATAGCAAGGCCCAAAGTTAGCTTCTTTATTAGAACAATCTGTAACAGCAGGCTTTTGAGGGCTATTAGATACTTTATATTTGTTCTTTTCAGTATCGAGCCTCTTAAATTTTCTTTAGCAAGTTTTATTTTGGTAGGTTCTTTTATTTTACATATAGCTATTTGGAATTCATTAACTTTTTTTAGCTATTCTTCACACTTACAGTGCAAAGCTTTTTTTTCAGGAACTTTTCAGATATATCATTATTTAATTTTTCATTATTCCCATTATTATTACAAATCAACGTCTTGGGATCACTTTTATCTGAGGTTTTGTTATCATCGATATCTTCAGGCTCTGCAAGTATGTTTTCTATTTTCTTTTTCTTCTCTTGATCCAATTTAATTGATTTACTAGCAGCATCTGCTTAAATTGACTTTTGATAATAGGTGAATGGCTTATAATCATCTTTTTCAATTCCTGTTCTATTTTGCTAGTAGAGTTTGAGGCTATACTTCTCATTTAGATTATCATTTTCTGCATATTTTAGATAAGTCGTCAGAAGTTTCTTTTCAACTCTTATTCCTTTATCCTCATCATTTTTAATACCAATT